GGGGCGGTGCCTGAATGCATCCTGGGGCACCCCAGCAGCACCAGTCCCTTTCCTGGGCAGGAGGGTGGGTGTGGGGTGCGGGACACGAGTGCAGACCCCATCCCAGGGCGGGAAGAAGCAGGCCAGCCCGCACCCTCCCTGCCAATAAAAGCAGCTTTTTGGGAGGCAGCCTGGGCTCGTCCCCTCCCTGCCGGGCTGGCACACGGTGCTGGCACCCCCAGGACAGTGGGGTGGCCCTTTGCTTGTCCCCTCCGCTGCCCCATGTGCCCCCTCTAAGCATCCCTGGTGCTGGATGCTGGGCTGGGGCTCCTGGGGGGCAGGGGATGAGCTGGGCAGCTCCAGGGCCCTGATGTGGTGCACCCCGACACCCTCTTGCACCCAGCTCAGGGTACTGGTGTGGGGAGGAGAGACACGTCCCGGAGGGGTCGTAGCCTCAGCCCTGCTCATCCCTGCGGCCAAATTCAGATGCCGTCCCAGGTCGTGGAGCGGCTGATCCCTGCCTGGCTCGTTCCGCTTGTGGATGGGGCTCGGCTGAGCCCCCAAACGAGCACAGCCCCACACCTGGGCCTGATCCTGCCCTGGCTCCGCCGGGCCAGCTCGTCTCCCGAGGGACAGTGTGACAGCTCTGCGGCACGGGCAGGGCACGTGGCATCAGACACCGTTCGGCTACACCAAGCCCCAGGGAGCTTCGTGCCTCAGTTTCCCCTTATCCCTCGCAGAGCTGCCTCCCTCCGAGTTCATGCAGGTGGCGGATTCGACTTGGCTGGTGCTCAGCGTCGTCTCCAACGGCCGGGCACCCTCCGGCTGCCAGGCCACCGGCGTCACCAAGATCGCCAGGTCGGTCATCGCACCGCTGGCCGAGCACCACGTCTCGGTGCTGATGCTCTCCACCTACCAGACCGACTTCATCCTGGTGAGCGCCGCGCGGTGACGGGCGCGGCGGTGCCTGGTCCCACCGGGATGTTGGCTCTGCTGGAGCTGGGTGGGGACCCCACTGTCCCCGGCCGGTGGTGGGGGGCTGCGGGGAGAGGTGCCGGTGCCGGCCCTGATCCTGCACCCCTGGGCAGGTGCGGGAGCGGGACCTGCCGGTGGTGATCCACACTCTGGCCGGGGAGTTCGACATCTACAAGGAGGAGAGCGGCGAGTGCGTCCCCGTCCCCTGCGATGATGTGAGCAACGGCTTCCTCAAGCCCAAGCCGGGTGAGTGACGCCGGGTGCCGTGTCCCCCAGGGCCACCCCTGTCCCCAGGGCCACCCGGGCCCATGTCCCCCAGGTCCCCACCGAGATGCTCCAACTCCCATCGGTGGTACCCAGGGCCACCCCCCTGCGCCCTGAGGGATGTCGGGCGGCGGCGGCGGTTTGGCACTGCGGTACTGTCCCCAAGCTGTCCCCAAGCCTGATGGGTGGCTCTTCCCCTGCCAGCCGCCAGCCCCACGCTGCACCCGGTGCAGAGCCCCCAGACCCGCTTCTGCGTCCTGACCGTGGCCCCCGACACGCTGCCCGCCATCGCCACCATGCTCATCGACGTCCTCTTCTACTCCCACAGGTGGGTCCCGGGGATGGGGACACCGTGGTGGCCCCTCGCCCGGTGCCACCTGAACTGTGGTGACGCGTGCCTCCCCCGCCTTGCTCCCAGTGGCTTTTCAGGCTCTGGGTGTGTTTCACGAACTGGTCTTGCCCTCCCGAGTGTACCGGGGGGCTGAAGCCATGTGGGTGCTGTGGGTCCCGATGTCACCGTGGGAGATGGGAGCCCCGAGGTGACCTGAGGGATGAGCCCCCCATTGCAGCAGAGCCCAGGGAGGGGGAAATTGCAGGACAGCAGAGGGTGGGTTGGGAAAGGCTGGTGGGAACAGCGCTGGGGTGAGGGGATGTTCCTGGCCGGGACATCCCATGTCTGTTGGGATGAGGTCCCTTCTGGTGGGACCCTCCTGCTCCAGAGGCACCATAGTGCTTTGGGAATGCCCTAAAACTTGGTGTCACCCCTGGCTGACACCCGCTGCTCCCCAGCCCGGTGCCTGTGTGAGCTGCAGACCCTGTGGATAGCCCCTGCTCCCATCCCTCCCCTCTCATCCCCCTCCGCCGGCTCACCCCACGGCACCCCAACATGATGCTCAGACACCCAGCACCACCACCAAGCCCTTCTCCTCCCAGTTTCGGGGGTTGTGACCCTTCCCTGTGGCTCTTTCCCCACCCCTGCTCTGCAGCCCCCCGAGGGAGGCTGGCGCCGGCAGCCAGGACCTCGACTCCATCACCTTCTTCGCCTTCTCCCTCATCGAGGGCTACATCTCCATCGTGATGGATGCCGAAACCCAGA